AGGGGCCAGAGAGGAGGACTCCCCCCAGCCCTTTCCCTGCTGGCAGCAGCAAGCTGTGGGGGAGAAGTCCCCCTTTCCTGCCCCCCCAGCAGCACACTCACCCCCACCACTGTCACTGCATGTGCTCTTAGGCAGTGGCGTAGCCAGCTTCTCAGTGCAGGGGGAGCAACCATAACAAAGGCGCCTCCCCCTTGGCTCCTCCTCTGGCCACGCCCCTCCTTGGCTCCTCCTCTGACCGCTCCGCCCCCCCCCCTTGGCTCCTCCGGCCACGCTGCGGCCATGCTGCGCCCCCTCTCGGAGGGGCTCGGTGGGGGGGGGCGGGTGCGGGGGAAGGGGTGGCGGGTGGGCGCTGCTCGCTTCTCCCTAGGCCTAGGGGGAGCAGAGCAGTGGGGTGGGCAGCAGCTGGCGGGCAGATCCCCTCTCCCCGGCAGCTTCCTGGTTCCCTCGCCTGGGAAGCCCAGCATTTTTTTCAAAAGCGGCGCCTGCCGGGGAGAGGGGATCTGCCCGCCAGCTGCGGAGCGCTCGGCCGCCGAGCCCTGAGCCGTTGCAGGAGGCGGCCGCGCTGAGCGTGGGGTGCGATGGCCGAGGAGCCCGGCCCCTTCGCTCCTCCGGCCGCGCCCGACGCCCCCCCCAATGGCTCCTCCGGAGTCCAGCCGTGCTGCCCCCCTCCCCTTGCCTGCAGGAGCCCAGTGGCGGCCGGCAGGCGCCACTTTTGAAAAATATACTTGGGGGAAGCGGCTGCTTCCCCTGAACCCCCCTAGCTACGCTACTGCTCCTAGGGTCCCGCTCAGGTCCAGAAATCACCCTCGCCTCCCCCATGGTGGGTACCGGAGGGTGCTGCATGTGCCTCCTCCCCTGCTGTTGCCCCTGACTGTAGCCTCACTGGGGGTGAGGGATGGGGCTGCCTCCTTGGCCAGCATGGGGCAGGAGCGGTGACTGTGGGCGGCGGGGGAGGGGGACTGTGCTGCTGGAGGGTCCCATTGGAAAATGAAAGGGTCTGAGGGGGAAGGGCAGGCTCAGAGTCAGTCTGCCCTGGCAGTCGAGATGGGGGGCGCTATCATCCTGCGGCAGCAGTTGCTGCAGGGGAGAGACAGGGACTCTCTGCTCTTTTTTTTTTTTTCCTCCACCATTTTCTGCGCCCCCTCCCCCTCCTGGCTTTGTGTGCCCGAGGCAAGTGCCTCACTCGCCTGGCCCTTGTTACGGCACTGATGGGTTCTTTCAAGTATGGCAGATGTACTCGTTAGACAAGCAAGACTAGTATGAATAATGATACTGTAAATAAAATGTATTACAGTTTTTCATATTTTAAAATGTTCTAAATAGTTTTAAATCTTCCCCAGTTTCATACAAAAAAATTAATGCAAGCCCTACGGAAGGGTGAGATAGCGTGAAGTTTCCCTTTTAGTGGGAGCAGCACGTGGCTGGTATTTTGGCCAGCTTTGGCTTTTGTTAGCTGTTTTTACCCACTGTGTTTTATTTTGTATTTTTCTTTTGTAATGTATTTTATGTGCACTTGTGTGTGTTCTTTTTGTCCTAAGGCTACCATTGCTGGTACCCCAGTGGGAGCCAGCTCCATCTGCAACTTAAACTTTTAAATAAAACTTGTGCAGCTGTGCGCTGTGTCAAAGACAACTCCTGTGTCAATTGCCTGTCTTTTACAATTGTTCCTTATGGGGGCCCACAAATATGTTTGGTGCCGAGCCGACAAAAAGTTAATGTGGCCCTGCACTGTGGTAGCACCTGGGAGCTGCAGTCCTGGATCATTGTGCAAGGCAGTCAATAAACAGAGCAAAAGGGCTGGCCTTGCCCTGCCTCTGAGAGTTTAGCATTTGTTCATTGACAGATTTTTCCAATAACAATTTCAAAGCTAGTAGAGGAACTTGGATGTTGCTTTGCAGCCATTTTAAAGTTAGGTACCTTCCCCTCACTGATTTAATAAATAATGGCAGGATCTCCAGATCATCAATATGTTCTGCTGGTGTCCAAAGGCTCCAATTAAATTTGGGATGCTTTCTTTTTAGATGCTGCACAAATACAAAGTAATTCATAGTCCCTGCCCCAAAGAGCTAAGTGCTAATGTATTTAACACTTAAAAGCTGTGTATACATTTACTCTCACAAATGAAAACAATAAAAGATTGCAAACAAAAAACATAACTTATTATTTGTATTAAGAGGACAGGTGTGCATAGATCTTCACGTGGTTTCTGCCCTGAAGCACTTACAGTTTAGAAGTTTAAAATGACAACAAAGGCGGGAGAGAACAAATTATAGCAGAAGGAGAGGAAACGGACAAGTTTAAATACACATGATCATATAACTCAGTTCAGTTTTAAGATTACATTTCTTATAGTTCACCTCTTACAGGCTTTGTGGCAAAAGTGAATTTTTGGGAGAGCTAAACCAAGTTTTTCAAAAGCGACTTGATTTTCCATGGCTCAGTTTTTGGGGGCCAACTTCAGACTGATTTTCAGAGGTGAGATTTCCGCACTTTCTTAAAATCAGGCCCCTTTAAGGTGTCTCAAGTTGGGCATTCAAAAAATGAACCACCCCAAATCACTAGCCACTTGGGCAAATTTGCCCATGTTGACTTGAAAAATAGGTTGTAGGAGAGTGTTCCAGGCATATTTGTAGAGATGGTGGGTGCAGAGGTGTTTGTGTGTGCAGATGAAAGGATGTTAACGATGTCACTGGCAGAGCAGAAGGGGTAGAGGGAATGTGACAGACTAGTTAAGGACATTATTGACTGCCAACATAATTGGCATGAATTAACAAGGGGATGAACATCCACAGTTACCATTGCTACACCGGCCTGATGCCACTGGAAATTCTGTATTATACTAGGAGAATCCCTGGCTGGCCACTTAGATCAGCTTGAAGGCTGCTTTGTTGGCTGGAACATCAAAAAGTAATTTTACTGGGAGCAAGGATCTGGTCCTAATTTTTTTGTAATGAGAGTAATTCAGTTTTTCTGGTGGGACAGCTATGGGAAAGAGACAGACACAGACAGAAATCAGGCTAGGAATATTACTTTTAACTGAGCAGTCCTTCCCAACAGAATGCTCATCATTATACCTTTATAGAGTACCGTTTAAAAAATTATTCCCCTCTGGAATACAATTAGAATTGAGACATTCCAAGTAAAATGTAATATTTAGTCAAAGTAACAAAAAAAGTCATCACTTTTAAAGCAAAGAAGTGATGCAAAATTCTCTGAAGGGTGAGACTTGTCAAAATTTGCTCCCTGGGAGGGACAGGGCCAAGAATAGATAGAGGATGCAAAATCTGAGATGTTTCGTTTTATCAGAAATCGCATCCCTTGGCAGGGCGGAAGACAAGTGGTTGAAGCAATTGCGGAAGGATAGCAGAGAAACATATCAGAAATCACATCCACCATGTGTCCTCTCTCCTGGTCCAAGGGATGAGATTTCTGATGGAGAAGAGCGAAATGTTTAAGAAACTGCATTTTGCTACATCAGAACCAAGGTTGTCTGTCACCTTCTGGAAATTACATCACCCGCCTCTCTTTATCCCTAGTCCAGAGAATGCAATTTCAAGGGGATAAGAGAGAGCAGCCCATAGACTGCTCTAGTCCAGGCATTTTCGATATACAATTCAGATTTAGAATTGCAATTTTGGAAGGAGGAGCAAAAATGAAATGGATGTAGTGTTAAAATTTGCCAGTGTCTACAAATATATACAACAGGGGTCGGCAATCTTTCAGAAGTGGTGTGCCGAGTCTTCATTTATTCACTCTAATTTAAGGTTTCGCGTGCCAGTAATACATTTTAACGTTTTTAGAAGGTCTCTTTTTATAAATCTATTCTATAATATATAACTAAACTATTGTTATATGTAAAGTAAATAAGGTTTTTAAAATGTTTAAGAAGCTCCACTTAAAATTAAATTAAAATGCAGAGCCCCCCGGACCGGTGGCCAGGACCCAGGCAGTGTGAGTGCCACTGAAAATCAGCTCGTGTGCTGCCTTCGGCATGCGTGCCATAGGTTGCCTACCCCTGATATACAAGGTCTATGCATTTATTTTTTTTTTGACAAAAGGGCAGCTCAAAGGGAAAGCCCAGGTCCCTGATCACCTGTTCTTGTTACTGTAAAAGCAGAGATACCCAGACCCATTGGCAAATGCGACTCAGCTCCACCCAATGCTTCTGTGCAAGAGGAAGTTAAATCACCATGGAGTGCACGAAGGGTCGCTGTTCCAGTGCTGCTGTGCATTTAAATGCAGCCCTCTGCTTTTACAAGTGATCGTGCAGAGCCATGTTTGTCAACAGATTCCCAGGGGTCCTCATGGTTTGGGATGGTACTAGGGTGACCAGATGTCCCTATTTTATAGGGACAGTCCCGATATTTGGGGCTTTTTCTTCTATAGGCGCCTATTACCCCCCACCCCCGTCTCGATTTTTCACACTTGCTATCTGGTCACCCTAGATGGTACTAGCGCAGCCTCCCCTAATCCAGGGTATGCTAGTCAGGAGTGACTGGCAGGCTGTGCCTGATAAATATTGCAGCAGCAGCAGCCGAGCTTCCCGTAGAAAAGTATGCGTATCTCCCTGCTGTCCTTGACCCACAATGCTTTGCAATTCTAATGGCCAACCTATTCCTCAGGGAGGAAGGGGGCGGGGGCACTGTGCTGCTCTCCATTCAATAGCCCTGGTAATGACAGCTCCACAAAGATCAGCCATCCGAAGATGAATAAGGCAGCTGCTCCTTCAGCAAGCTTCGGGGGAGGGAAATCTTGTTTTCCAGTACAGCTGGCTGGCTGAGTACTTTTATCCTACCGTTATAAAAGATTAAATCACGTGTTTTATGGGGGAGTGCATGGTGTTTGTTTACTGCATCCATAGGATGTGGTGATATTTGTATCCACTGCACTCTGCCTTTTACGCAGAAAAGGTTGGAGTCCTTTGTTTAAGATTGTGAAAAATGATGTAAAAAAAAAAAGAAAAAGGTGTAACTTGCAAGTACTCTTTAAAAGGAATAATAATGGGACCAGGCATTCAAGATTATCCCTTACTACTGCAACGAGGGACACTGAAAAAGGACAGTCAAAGCCATGAAACCCACAAAGGAATGGTAATGTAAGGAAATTATTTTCTCTCTCTTTGCTAGGGAAATATGTAATTATTGCAGATTAGTATCTAACTGATTGTGTGATTCAGTGGGCTAGCCAGGTTGTCATTTATTTCCTTTTCATTTATCTATTTGTTTATTCACAATGAAACAGATGATCAAATAGTTTATGTGCAGGTCACAAAGTTAGAGGTGATTGTTTCCATGCTGGAGGGACTGGGACTTGCTTTCATTATTTTACAACCCATTAAAGTGGCAAAACATCATTTTCCCAAACAAAACGCATGGTACTGACTCCAACTAAAAATGAGTACTATGTATTGACAGAAGTGAATTTTACTACAATCCATCTGAAAGCAGACGTGGAGGTAAAATATGATTGCTGTTTTGAAGTGACATTTTCAAGCATTCTTTTTTTAAAATAAGGTATAGTGCTCATGTGCAATGCAAATACAACTTTTCTTATTCTTAGAGAATGCATTATTTTAAATGTTAAAATATTTTGGGTTTTTTTCCTAATGTGCCCCCAGAGAGAGTCTGATTTATTTAAGGGAATACTCTCTGGTATATAATATCAAATTGTCCAGGTCAGTAATGCATATCATTCATTTTGAATGTGTGGGGGATTTTTTGCTCCTGATTTAAGCACCAACCTGTAATCACGCAAAACTGTGAATTTTGCTTTGTGCCACTGTTGTTAAATAGCTTCAATTAATATTGTAACAGACTGCACATTCTGAGCAAAATTCTGCTTACATCCTCATGAGTAATCCCTTGAGCATCACTGGCACTATGCACATAAAAAAGGCAAGCAAGATTTGGCTTGCTATATTCTTAATACTGCATATTATTATCATTACTTTAGTTGTATTGTGGAACCACCTAGTCCGAGTCATGAACCAGGTCCTCATTGTACTATGCACTGTGCAAAACAATAGCAATATGGTTAATTACTGATGTTTGTAAATTGCTTTGAGATCCTTGGATAGAAGGTGCTATAAAAGTGTGAAGTATTACTGTTGAATTATCTATCTGTGTTAAGCACTTATGTGGCATGTAAATTAAAAGGGAACACCAAATATGCATGAAAAAGTTTTAGTGAAGCATAAATGAGAAATCCCTTAAATCAAAGGAACACTTAAGTATAATTATGACCATCTCTTTCTCGCCCCCTTTTTAAAATGAATCTGCATTAAAAATCTGTACTGAAGCTGTGATTGTAATTAAATAACAATATACTTGACAATACCCTGTTTATTTATTGCTAGTTCCAGTGGTGGAAAGGGACATCCAAGTACCAAAGGAGTAGAGAAACCACTTTCCCCTGTGAGACCTTCTCCCAGCAGATTAAGCAAAAGTATTTTAAATACCACCAAAAAGGTAAATCAATTCAAATCCTTTGCATATATAAAAATGTGCTTACATTTTATGTCAGATTTTTCTTTATTACAGTTTTAGGTACACATATTTACATCTGTTTTCTAGACTTTCCATTGCACCCAGGATGATAGTCAACCAAGTTTTCTTTACAAGGAAAGAAACAGGCTAGATGAGGCTCATCAGCAAAACAGGTAAAGTTTTTTATATTGTCTGTCTGATGTCCATGGATTTTTCGAAGCTGCACATAAGTCTTCAGGTGAAATACTGGCTTTGAAATCAATAGAAGTTTTGCCTTTGACTTAACTGGGGCCATGATATCACCCTTCATGTTCAGTTATTAGGAACACAGATTTAAGTTACCAGTATTGGAATCTTGTTATCCTACCTCAAAGAGCTTTATAGTCAAAATCAGATTTGAATGAAATGGGAGACAGTGAGGAAAAAAAAAAAAGTCAGTTGTATGTGTTTATAAAGAGAACATTTCCCAACAGGAACCACACGCTTACCACCGTTATTTCCTGTTCTAAGCTGATTAAAAACTGATCTCTCCTGTTCACCTCATTGTACCCATGGGCAAATGGTGGCTAATGTCTGTATTTCTGGTTTAGGAGCTAAGAGCAGAAGTTTTCCGGTTTTTAACCATTTAACCACACAGAGGGCTAGCTCCTCAGCTGGTATAAATTGGCAACGCTCAGTTGAAGTCAAGGGAGCTACATCAGTTTACATGAGTTGGTGATAGGGCCCGGAAAGCCTAGCTATTTTATTTCTGTCTCAGATCTCAACTGACCCTTCTTGCAAGAGCCTGCCTTTTCCTGCAGATCCAAATTTGCTTCCATATACTCTACACTTTACATATAAACACACTGTAAGTGATGTGCATCAAAATGGTCAAACCATTAAATGGGACATTAGGCAAGGTTATTTCTGCAAGTTAAATATTAATGTCATCTCATTCATAGATTCTCAAGTCATACCAATTCTCTTATCTTTTATTTTCAGTCTTTGACTCATCTTGTGGACACAACTGGGGCTCCAGAGGTTGTGGAGTTAGCAAGCCCTGGGGTAGTTGGAGTTCCAAAAGGGGTTAAATGATCTAACTGTAAATGCTCTTTCTTTTCATGTAGAATGATGAGTGTTTGCACATCACTGTACAAAGTACGAGGGGCAAAGAAGGACCTCACAGAAAGAAAGCAAAGTGAATCTGGACTACACAGAATCCCTTCCAATTTGAAGGGGAATTCACAAAGTGGCTCCAGTAGGGCAGAAGATGCACTGATGCAAAGATTTTATTCTAATCAAAAAGGAGAATCTCAAAGAAGTCTTGGAGAGCATGTGACTGAAGCTGTCCGTTGCACTTCTAAATATCCAGGGACCTCTGTGAATGAGATGTTTCTTGACTTTCAATCAGTGAGAATTATTCAAGAGGATGCTGCTGAGGACAGTGCCAGTGACCTTTCTGACTCAGAAAGAATTCCCATTCCCCCTTCCCCCTGCACACTGCCAGAACTCAACCTCAGAGCTGAAGAAATTGACCCAGCATGTTTTGAACACCTCTTTGATGCAGGGTATAAAGAATCAATGTATTATTATCCTGACTTCCTCCCACCTCCTTTCAACTCCTGGGACCTGCAGCAGCTGGCAATGTTTGTTAACACAGAGTGTAAATCGGAATCTCGACCACAACCAGCAGGATTTATTGAGAAATATATCGATCGGCTTTTGCAGCTGGAGTGGCTGCAGGTGCAAACTATACAGAACGAGAAAGGAAAGACAGCCAAAACTAGGCCTCAGACGGCTCCTAGTATCATTCGGACCCTAAAAAGCCCTGGCAAAGGCAAATCATTGCATAGCCCTTCGCCTAACAAGCAGTTAACTCCCAAAGAAAGTGTGATAAAGCTCCCCACCAGCCTTTCAGGTCACAGAAGAGATGTACACTGTGAAGAAAATAGCCAGTTAAATGCATATCCAAGTCACTCAAAAGTTGCTGAGGTTATGGGTGGCACGTCATCCCCACAGACACGTGCCTGTGAAATGAGGAATGAGGTAAAAAAGAGGTCAGCCACCAAGCAGCAACTTCTCAATATGCAGCCCTGTGCAAGCAGCTCTAAGATTCAGGATGTTGGTATTCAGGATATTGGTAACATTAGACCCCTCAAACAATGTCCCAAGTTCCATAGTTCAGCTGCCCCCACCCAGGGGCAAAAAACACAGGCATGTTCAAATCTGAAGAAGAATGGAAATGCTAATAATTATGTTCCTTCCAAGAAACCAACAGGGGACAGGAAGTTAAAAACAAATGGTGTGAAGCAAACATCATGTACATTTAAATAATGAAGAAGAATTAATTAGTAATTTGGCAATGCAATGCTGACTGCTGGAGAGTGGAGGGGCCATGGTTTTTCCATCAGGAAATCCTGTAGAAAATTGTTCTTGCTGCAAATTTCTGCACATTTAAGTACATTGGACCTTAAACTAGCAGGGCCAACAGGGAATATTTTTCTCTGAAGACAGATGTCTTCCACTGGTCTTTACTCAAAGGGTAGACACTTGCTTATGTAAGAAGATTCTAGCTAATAAAGTTAGGAAAACATAAAATGTCTGATTTCTTCTCACACTGACACCCATGTAACTTCATTGACTTCAGTGGAGTTACTCCTGATTTACATTGGTGTATGTGAGAGGAGAATCAAATCCATACACTCTCCATTGAGCAGACACACACGTATGCCATATAGGGTGAGACAGATTTGCTTTTCTTTCTGATGGAGAAGAGTTTAGTTGATTTTATAAGAGAATGGAACTGGCCAGGCTCATCTATGCAAAGTTAAAGTCTCTGATTCTTGAGGGAAGAGCACAAAATCGGACTGTTTGGGGAGCAGAGAATGTTTTGAAGTAATCTTCTGAGTCAGAAGAGATTCTACTAGTTAAAATCATACCGCTGCTAAAGGACTGACATCCGCTCATCTGGTGATAGGCCAAGGATATGGCCTGAATATTTTTATACAGCTACCTTTGTTGTAGTCTTAGACCATTTTCCTTAAAGTCCACCTTGTAGGTCTTGCTGCTTTATGTTATTTAGAAGGTGACCCTCTTACCACTATTACCACTCAAGCAAGAGATCTTGGAGTCATCCTGCTTAGTTCTCTGAAAACATCTGCTCAGTGTGTAATGGCAGCCAAAAAAGCGAATAGAATGTTAGGAACTGTTTGGAGAAGGACAGATAAGACAGAAAAGATCATATAATGCCACTATATAAATCCATGGTACTCCCACACCTGGAATACTGCATGCAGTTCTGGTCACCTGTAACAGCGTGCACTCACCTCTCGTGAGCACCCCCTCGGCCGAGTGCACACGCTTTGATTGTCCCTCCTCTGGGATAGAGCAGCACCCCAGGGCTCCCTCCCTGGAGACAATGTCTTTGCCCCCTTAGGGCTTCCTGGCTACAGCTCTCCATCTGGGTCACTATAGTTCAGTTCCCCCTCTGGGGCGCCTCACTGTCCAGGCCACTTCCCCCCAGTGGCTAATCGGGGATGAGGTAGGGGAGACCCAGGCCCACCCACTAATCCAGGTCCCAGCCCAGGGACCCTGTAGATTGCAGCCATCTGCCGTATCCCTTTAACTATGTTGCACGGCTTCTCTAATTCCCTGGGCCACTTCCCCACGGCCCTGCGCTGTCTTCACCCTTACCTCAGGACCTTGTCCTAACAGAGTCCCAGCAACCAGCTCATGGCTCCTTCTCGCTCTCCGCAGCTTCTGGCAGCACTGCCCTGTCTGGGGTCTGTAGCTCTGTCAGCCAGCCACATACCATCCACACTCCTACAGCTCCAGCAAGGAACTGATCTTCCACTGGCCCTGCAGCTTTTCTTATATGAGGCTGCTGGGCCCTGATTGGCTGTATCCCACACAGCCACTCTAGGCACTTTGGAGGACCCTCTCCACTGCCCTTTTTGGGGGGCAGGGTGTGGCAGGGCCACGAGGCCTTCAGCAGGGGACCTCAGAGGGTTTGGTATACTCCGTCACATCATCCCATCTAAAAAAAATGTTAGAATTGGAAAAAGTACAGAGAAGAGCAACAAAAATGATTAAGGGCATGGAACAACTTCCATATCAGAAGAGACTAAAAAGACTGGGACTGTTCAGCTTAGAAAAGAGATGACTAAGGGGGGGGGATATGAATCATGATAAATTTCTATAAAATCATGAATGGTGTGGAGAAAGTGCATAAAGAAGTGTTATTTGCCCTTTCATAAACAAGAACCAGGGGTCAGCCAATGAAATTAATAGGTAGCAGATTTAAAACAAACATAAGGAAGTACTTCTTCCCACAGTGCACAGTCAACCTGTGGATCTCGTTGCCAAGGGATGTTGTGAAGGCCAGAAGTATAACTGGGTTAAAAAAAGAATTAGATAAATAATGGAGGATAGGCCCATCAATGGCTACAAGCTAAGATGGTCAGGGACACAAACCTATACCCTGGGTGCCCCTAAGCCTCTGCCTGTCAGGAGCTGGGACTGGATGACAGGGGATGGATCACCTGATAATTGCCCTGTTCTGTTCATTCCCTCTGAAGCCTCTGATACTGGCCACTGTCAGGAGACAGGATACTGGGCTAGATGGGACTACAGGTCTGACCCTATATGGCCATTTTATGTTCACTCTCTTGTGATTGGGTCCTTTATCTTGAAAGCTCCTGTTCATTCGCAGCTCCTAGTGATGGCAATGGAGGTTGAAGTTACTGAATAGTTTTCAGGATTGGGCCCACAATGGTTTAGAGAAAAGATGCATCTCTTCCCTTTATTTCAGTAAAGATAAGTTTGTTGTGAGACAACAGCCTGGTTTTGTCTACATAAAACCACACTGTTACAAGTGACAGTAATTGGATTCAAACAACCCTTGAAAATATTTCCCCCCCAAATGTTGGAAGCAAAATTAAGCCCAGTGGAGTCATGTTACCATTTCCCAGGAGCAGGAATGAGTTAAAGCGCAGCTACTCCAAACTTCTCACTTCAATCAGCTCCTCTTTCATAGCTTTAAAAAGAGGATGTGACTGTCATGCTGGTGAAAGGTGAACTGACAGCCCTAAGGAATGAAGTTATTTGTCTACACGTCATGGGCAGTGAGAGTGGCAGCCTTCCCCTTTCAGCCCTCCTCCCCAGGACTGTCTCCGGTGTGGTAGTTCAGTGTTTCAGACCATTCTTCCCTCTCATTGCTGGGGTTGACCTTTGTGGCGGTGGCTTTCGTGACACAGACACCTGTCCCTGGGAACTGGAGTCTGTCTTTTTCATATCTTTCTTTAGTGTGATTTCTCCTACCTGGTCAGCAGGGAGAGATGACAGTTGTCAGGAGCAAGGTAGCCCAAGAATTATGGTAATTACACATTTATTTCAATTTCTAGACCAAAGACACAGAAGTAACCATTGCCCTATACCTTTGAAGTTACTGTGTCTTGTGGCATTGCTTTCCCTAACTGAAGAATTTCTTTGGCTAAAACAAACTGATCAGTGTTCAGAAAAGATGGTAGGTTTGGTGTAGCATTTTTCTAGTCGGTCGGGGACAGCTATAGATTGATTTTATGGTTACTCTTTCCTTGTCCAGACTGTCCCACGTAAATTGCCTGAGGAAACCGTCAGGCTCATACATATGGCATCTATAACGATCTCTTAAGCCTTTTGTGTTGCCTGAACCTTTCCCCCTCTCCCAATAATTTATATTCAAGGCCCTTTTTCCAGCCTACTCAGAAAATTTCTGAGGAACCTGACAACTGACTTATTGTTGTGTTGTGATTTCCTCTCCCTCTTCCTCTCCAACAAACTTTCTAGACGAAACTTCTGTACTTTCTGATCAGTCCCACCTCTCCTATGAGGTTTGAAGAATAAGGAAAAATGATGGATCCCATTAAATTGTGATTTTCAAGCGTGCTGAGCTCTGCAGCTCCCATTGAAAATCAGGCCACTGGGGAGAGGGTTTACATGGTGTGTTCTACATGCTTTCTGCTGAAGCACCAATACATTTTTAGTCCCTTTTCAGTCACTTATATGCATCTCCACCTACTGTCCATAGCACTGTCCTGCAGTCCACTCTACTTCACCTTGTTTGGGTTCCAATTTCAGGAGTGGGTGAAATTACTCCATATAGTGAAAGCTGCTGTAATGTGGTGCAGTAAGTAACTCTACAGCCAGGATTGGGCACTGTTTCAGGACCATGTTTGGGTTGAAGTGTTTGTTTTGGGAGAGTGGAATTCTGTGGGAGACAGGAAAGTAGAGAGATTAGCGTAACAGCTACCAAAGAATTGAAGGATGAGATATCAGCTGGTGTAATTCCAAGCCAATGGAATGACACACATTTATGGCAACTGAGGATATGGCCCCGCCTTTTCAAAACAAAGAAGAAAATATTTATATAGCAGATGCTAATCTTCTGCTCCAGGGACCAGCATCAGAGCTGTTACTTGACATATGACTAAGTCATGACTCTTTGTAGTTCTTGCCTATTATGGTTTACATTAAGAAGCTGTAAATACAAGAGAACAAATTAAGCAATTTAAATTATGTTGCTATTGATTGAACTTGCTATCTAAAATGCTGAATTGTTTCTTTTTCATCAGCTGCCTGACTTCAGCTCCATAAACTTTTATAGCATGTATTTATATGTACTTTGGAAATATGAATGCTCGTAAAAGTAGTAATAAAATGGTATATTTTACTGTACATTCAAAATGAAGTCATATGCTCAGGATTGAGTGATTTTCAATGTTGTCTTCCAGTCAACTCTAGGCTAAACATGTGTATCTCTGATAGAATGATGGAAGAACATCATTTTAATATATTGTATTTTTCCATTTTTAATAATCAAACATCAAATTTATCATGATTTGGAATATTTTACTAAGGTGATTTATTGCAAGTTTAGATAACCCAAGATTCTAGCTGTTTATTGCCTACTGAAATGAATACTCTGAGGTTCCATTGTAAATGTAGGGAGAGATTCTGCTTCTAGGTAAACTGGTATAAACCTACAATAACTCCATTATCTTAAATGGAGTTACTCTGAGTTCAAACTAAACAGAATTTGGGCCCCAAATATTTTTAAGCTCAAACATTTCCTTAATTACATTACTAATAATATCTCAAATAATTTACATGTAAAAATGTAAAACCAATTTACTTTTTTCAATTTGTAGGTGTGTTTGTTTTTTCTGCATTTCCCTCATCTTGCACAATGAAATTAGCTTTTGCTTGTGGTCAGTTTCCCATCAATTTAACATTCAGGTACTGATGTTCCAGTCTAGTAGTCCCTGCTTTTTATTGTACTAGTGAATTCAAAGCCTAACACCTTTGTATAAGTATGATGGCCCTGTTGAGCCACTGCTACCCATCCCCCATCACTTGGGCACGCTAACCAGCAATGGAGGTCACTTGGGCACGCTAACCAGCAATGGAGGTCCAAATCCCAATCTTTCAAAATTTAGCATACTCTGGGATTTGAAGTCCTCTAGAATGTAACGGGCATTGCAGGTTAGAGGGCACACAGCTAAATGGGAGTGGGCAGTGGCAGTGCTCACTACAGAGTGTGGAGATTATCATTAAAATTGACAGGGAAGATTGATGCTGGTCGAGGGGCTAGGGAGAAGAGGAAATTGCTAACTGGCGCAGTGGAACTATTTGGTATATGGGTACAGTTGCCCAAAATGTTGGGAACCACTGCCCATGATCACAGCTAACAACAATCACTTGTAACTCTGTATCCTGCATCAGCCTTCACTCTCCTAATTACTCTCCACCACATAGGAATAACACTGTCTGGGCTTGATCCAAAGCACATTGAAGTCAATGGAAAAAATTCCATTGGCTTGAATGGGCTTTGGATCAAGCCTTATATCATTAAGATTGCTTAGATATGGCCTCAGTCCTAGAAGATGTTGAATACCTGCTACAAGGTGCTGAGTGTCGTCCATTCTTGTTGACTTCGGCGGGAGCTGAAGGTGCATAACACCTCACCATATTGACCTTAAGAGCAGAAAAGCCACACCAGAGCATGTCAACAACCTGAGAAAAGGCCAGAACATCTCATGAGGATCTATACGCAAAGAAAATCCTCTATGCATGGATCTCCTCCTTCTCATGTGGAATGGAGGATATCAGATGCCT